TTAATGGAACAAGCTGCTGAGCTATTTACATTTTGATACTTACATAACTAGTGTAAATAATTAGTGCTTAGGTGTTTTATGGCTAAGTCACCTATGAAAAGAGCACATGACAGCAATATGTGAATGTGCTTTAATGGAAATGTTCAAAAATAATTTCTGATTGAGACTGGGACATATTTGCCTGCTTTGGTGACATTTGATTAAGGGTGAATAGATCACCACATATAGCGTACAATTTCTGGTTAAATGAAATATGTGCTCTTATGCAACCACATCACTACACAGAAGAAACAAAAACTTAAAATGATTGTGGAGCCTTTCAGGATTCAAGAACTATAATACAACAATAGAACATATTCCTCATATAATTCATATTAAGAAATCCTTACCTAACATCACTTATATTAAGTTTCAAATTATTTATGTATTTAAACAAACAAACAAATAAATATTGTATAACAAAGCTTTTGTAGTGTTTCATTTTTAAAAGGAGAATTTTTGTCTTCAATATGAAAGCTTTTCTTTTAATTAAGTAAATTTTAGCCTTATTCTAGAATCCTTACTAGATCATAGTTTTGAGCTCTCTTCTTCCATTAAAACCAATAGAACTACACCAGTTTAGGAAGAAGTGGAACAAATTCCTAAGGCAATCCAGAAGAATGCTTTTAATCCAGTGTTTCTTAACCATGGGAACTTTGTGTAGACCAGTGATTCTCAACCTTTTTAATGCCTTGACCCCCAATCGGTCGTAAGTTGAGGACTACTCAACCAGTCGTAAGTCGAGGACTACTCAACTGGTGCAGCACCGTTTGCAGAATGGGACTTTTGGCGGGCTCAGCAGGGCAGAGACAGCCTGGACAATCCCTGTTGGCTTTTGAAAGCCAATAGAATTAGACTCTATTCAAGAGAGTCTATTCTATTGGCTTTCAAAAGCCAATAGAATAAAAGGGAGTAGCACAGCTAAGGAAAAGGGGGGAAAAATGGCAGACTGCGTTGTTTGGCGACCCCCGTGAAATGGTCATTCGACCCCAAATGGGGTCCCGACCCACAGGTTGAGAACCACTGATGTAGACTTTAGTGGCCAGAATTCCACCGCCAGCTTCCTGGAGTTGAAGTCCACACATCTCAAAATTAAGAAACAGTGGTGCAGTCAATTATACTGCATGCTGCTAAGAAATTTAAAAGAACTAGGAGACTCAACCCTCTCCTGAGCCTGGTTCTTTTGGAAGTCACATGTAAGTACAATTAGTGTTGCTTCTACTCAGGATCCAGGAATCTAGGATGTCCATCTCCTTCAGCTTCTTCCACACATAAAATTACATTTTGCATAAGAAACTGAAGTAAATCTTTCTGACATCCTTGGACTGAAAAAACTCCAGATTCTTTTTTTCATTTATATTCCATAATTTGTCTCTTTTGTCTTTTGCAATGTTGCTTGTATGTATTTGTTAGTGATGCCTTGTGTTTCCTATAATCTAAGATTAGAAGTTTCTCAAAATTAAAAACCACAATTTAGAAAAAAATGAATGACTTTTATGCAAAGCACATTATTTTGAATGTTGTTCATTACACACCAGGATACTGGGGAAAATCCTTAATGAGTTCTATATATTGGATTATTTGACATTCATAAAATTACCTAATGATTTCCATTACATGTAAACACAAAAGGATAGTATATACTTTTAACAGAATGCCTTTATTTCCTTCTTTCTTTGATGCTGGTATACAATGTATGAAGTTAAATGCCTAGGCTTTTATAGTAGAATCATATATTCAATAGAATAACATCTGAAAGAAAGTATTTGAGTTGGGGACAATAAGAAATCACTAGGCATCAAAGATATTTAGAGAATGGTCTCCATAGAAAGCTATTAGCTGTATAAACTTCCAGTAGGAGAGAGGAGATTAAATAGCTATAAAATAAGACATGCTGGGTGCAAATTGCATGTTAGAATTGTGTAGCTAGGTAGCTGTACTTATCAAGGCTAGATTAGTTACCCTGCAGGCACACTGTATCTTCGGTTATTTATATTATTATATTATGTAAATCCCAATTTTTCCATCGTAACAAATGCAGTCTGTCTCTATTGCTCTCTCCACTGGATGTCTTTAAAACTTCTGGTAATTCTTAAATTTATTTCAAGGTATGGATATAATAGCCATCTCTTCAAGTGGAGAAACTAATATGTCAGCATTTTCTGATATTTACTTTTACTAGCTTATCACTTTAAAAATGTTAGGTTCTATGGCTACAGATATTCTCCAAAATTTAAAATGCTAACAAACTCTAGTTGTTAAATAGGTATGCAAGGTGAAGGTGACTGGTATCATTTACACATTGCTTACATTCTGTGTGCCTTCTTATGCATGTATTTCAGTAACACTTCATCCAGGTAGTCATCTAACGTCATCTTGCTTTGCTTTAGAAAAATGTATTTAATATTTGTTAAGACGGACTGATTCCACAAAGACTCTGGGAAGCTTACAAAGTTGCTATGTTCTTTGTCTTCAGATTGTAACTTTGCCATGTTTATCTGAATTTAACTCATGTTATCAACAGCTTGTAAGCTGCTTATAGTCAGTTTGATTGAAGCAACATATAAATGTCAGTAAATAAGTAAATAAAATAAATAAGAGTAAAAAAACTCATGCATGCTTTAAATATGTACTGTAGTAATGAAGAAAAGTTTTAAATGTGTTGTAATTGCTTTACGGCATACTTTACAGTTTATCACATGCTAGCATTCTTATTTTATACAGATTTCAAATCTATGAAAACTGGGGTTTGAAGGATGTAAGCCATGTACACTGGCTTATGGCTGCTGACATAGAGATTGGCACTGTACACCTACTTGTAAAGTTTTGGGGGATGTGGTGGGGCAGAGACTTAATTATGCTGGATGTGCAGAACAATTGCCAGCACTCCGATGGTTCGAGTCCAGCTCTTCAGGACAGGGTGAGCTCCCATCTCTTGCCCCTACTTTCTGCCCACCTTACAGTTTGAAAGCATTGTTTGGGAGTAAATAGATAGGTGCTACCATTTTGTTGGTAGGAAACTGCTGGCTGCATTCTGCATGAGCTGGAATCAGTGCTGGATCTGCCTGGACGCGATTGGTGGAGGAGTGATGGAGGAAAGTCGCGGATGAGCTGATTTTCCCTGAGAATGCTGTAGGACAGTCGGTGTGAAGCTAGTAGGTCCTTTTGTGATGGGCTGGTGCAACAAACAGACTAGTGACTGTCGGCTCCCAGGACTTCTACTGTGCTCATAACATTGCAGTCTCCCTGGCCTTGTATGCCATATACTAAATAAATAAATAAATGTAATTTTTTGTGGGCCAGGCAGGTTATGTTGCATTTAGGATTATTTATCCAGAAAATTATAAATCATTAAACCTATGATGATCTCTTTTTCCTTAAATACTTCAGATGTGGGGAAGGAGATTTAGTCAGGGCCACCTTTTTCTTCTGTTCATGGCATGATGCTGGTATAGAATTTTGTCAGGCTATATCACTGCTGGATAAGAAGAGTTGCAGTCTTGGCAATACAATAAATGGAAGAGTAATAAAAAGTATGGTGATCTTGAGCACAAATCACCAATGAAAGGATATGATGCAGGTATCAGGTTAAGATGACACCAGGCATTTATACCTTGTCATGATGTATTTCTCCTGATTTAAAACAGAACAGATATTTCCTATGACGGAGAGCTTCAGGTTAGAAATACCTCCAGAATTGGCAAGAAACAGACCGTGTTTCTTCCATGCTCAATTATTTTTTATTTTCTGATTTATCTCTGGAAATGACAGGTTGTTCTTAAGGTTGTTTTTGTTCTGAGTCAGAGTTCAGCATGACTGATTTTTTTTTATTTTTGTACACCAGCTTTGAAATTTTACTAAGGGCTTTATCCATGATTAGGGCTATCAGAATTTGGGTCATCACAACAGACAATATGGACTAGGACAGGGTCCCCAACCTTTCTGGGTTGGTGGCCTGGGGGAGGGGTAAAGGCGCCTTTACACGTGCACAATGCAAACGGACCCACAAGTGCCTGGGTGATGCTAATGCCCAGGCAATGCCATGATGCTAGTGCAAGTGGGGGGAGTGTGGGCTCACAGAGATGATAGAGCCTGTGCGATGCTGCTATGCTAGTGCAAGTAGAGGGAGTGTGGATTCGCAGCAATGCTAGCACCCACATAACGTTCATGGCATCACTAGCACTGGCATGACACTGCAATGCTAGTACAAGTGGGGAGTGCGACTGTGCACATGCACTGGCCAGCCACTCACACAGCCCAGTGGCCAACAGCCCACAGCCAATAGTGGCCCACGACCCACAGGTTGGGGAACTCTGGAGTAGGAGTCCGATTCTGACATGAGGTAACTTCTTGGCTTGGCAGCTGCTGAAGCAGCTTTTCAAGCTGTTCCCTTATTGATACTTTAATCAGTGGAAGGTATATATATGCAGACCATATTAATATTGAACTGGTCAAGATCAGAGCACCTGACAATTTCTTCATAACAAGCTCTTTTTAAAGCAGCAGGAACAGGCCAGGTGAGAGTTCATCTTTTCTGGCCAAATAACAACAACTACCTTGTCTTCATTTTGCTTTCTCTGCTAATTTACCGGAGAAACTGCTATTCCTTTTCAACAGGTACCAACTGTGCCAAGAACAAAGTAATCTCATCTCTTTTTTCAAAAGAGAATACTTTAAATAAGCTTATCGTGTTGCAGGAAGAAAAAAAAACTAAGAAAAATGGATCCAGTTAAAGTTACAGAATGTTTAGTAGCAGTGGAATTTAATGCACTGATGAATCTTTGCTATGAGTAGAGACAGGCAGTTTTGTTTTTTCTCACAGTAACAGGTTTTTTTTAAGTAATGGTTGGCAAGGAAACTCATGTCTAGCTGGGCACTTCCTGATTACATTAGCATAGCCCATCCCACATCGAACGAACGCCCAGCACGACCTCATTTTAATGCTGGATCTAGGCCAAAAGCATAAGCACAATGGATATAAGGAGGAGAATGATTGCAAAGAGAACCATAAACTGTAATAGGACTGGGATATATTTCTGTACTATGCTGACTATAAAACTTTAGATATTTATGCAATTGAAAATATACTTAGCAAGCAAGCAAACAAATGGGCTGTTTTTCTCTTCTGGTCTGAAACTATAATCTGTTAGAAGATTCACACAAATCTGATTGCAATTCCATAGAGGTGGGTTTTTTTCCTCTTCTTCACAGAAAAAGGAATATACAAAGGGAAAGAGGAAAGTAGAAATAAAGCATGACAGGATCAAAGAAAAAAGAGGAACCTGCCATATGGAAGAAGATCCATGCCTTTCGCTATGAAGACTTCAAACTCTGGTGTGTGAGCAGGCTGCCTCTTTTGGAGTGGGCACCACACTATTGTTGGAAAATGGACCTGCTCCCTGATATAGTTTCTGGGATGATGTTGGCAGTTCAACAGGTGACGCAAGGTACTGTGTTAAAAACTGTGTCAGTGACTTTATTGCTTAAATTGAACTGCTCTAGCCTTGAAAGTAGAAGTTCTGTTTACCTACTTATTTTTTTTTATTTTTAATGAAGGAGATGAGCATCTTTGCTTTTTCAAACCTGGATCTATCACCTTACAAACCTTTATGTTTGCCTTGAACATCTCCCATTATATTTAATGGGGCGTATTTTAGATGATGTTAGTTTTAAATGGGAATAATTTCTTCTGATTGAGTTAACTTAAAACCGTATTATAGACTGGCAACTGAACAACAGTGTACCTCTCTAACTTGCACACAACATTGTTCATACATTTACACAGGTACACATATATACTCATTGTGGTGGTTTACATGATAGATGTAACTTGTCTTTCCATTTCTTTTCTTTATATCTGTGTAAAGAGGTTTACCTTTGGTTTTTTTATAAAAGCCCCACTTTAATAATAGATTATTAGGTATCCAGTTAAATAATCTTGTAATTTTAATTTTATTTAACTATGGTTAAAAAACTGCATTGTGCAACATTAAAAAGAGAACTGTAGATATTTATCATTATGCCTTTTGATGTAAACCTTTAGTGAAAATACTTCTGCTTTAGGTTGAAATTATACTGAAATAGTGTGTGTGTGTGTGTGTGTGATTGTTGTAAAACACTGTTTTATGAATATTCAGTAATTTTCCCTCTCTTCCTCGAAGTATGAAAACAATAAAATACTAAAGAATTACTTCAAACATTATCTGGTATTCCTTTGAAAATGGTAACCTACAAGGCATAAATGTTCTGGGTATAAAAGGCCAAGACTGTGATGTCTTATTTTTAATATTATCCTGAACTACCCTATAACATCATCTCCATCTTTTCTTGGAAAACTAAACAAAGATAGCACATCAATTCAGTTAATCACCATTGATAAGAATAATCCTGGCTTATATATAAGGCCATTTTTTTTGCAGGTGATAGTTCAAAAAATGCTACAATAGCTAAAGATTTCTCACATGGCATTTGGGGGAATTTCTGCATGGGATCATGTATTAAAATGGAATATAAATCATTCAGAAGCAAAAGCTTTCTGATGGCTGCTTTTCTCAGATTCCCTAACAGCTTGCTCTAGTTTTCATTCATGCCTTGAAAATTATAAGCACTTCTTTAACTGAATTATTCTGCAGCTGGAATCATCTGGTTTGTGTATCTACTTGTGCTTTTGGAGTAATTAGTAACATCTGCATTGGCATGTTTTAAGTTGAAGGCCTTAATACTGTAATACTATAAAGAATCTTGTTCCTTGATATATTGATACAAAAAATATCACATTAAATGGTGCTAGTAATAATATTTTAGAAGCCAACTAAAATAATGAGCTTTTAAAAAAGGCAACATGGGTACTTATTTCTGTCCTTTTGGTGAACTTCCACAGAACAGGATTTTTACTAGTTATGGCAGTTTTCCACAATTTAATTATTTCCAGATGTGCTGGGACTACAACCCCCAGAATTCTCAGTCAATGAGAAAGGCACCGTAGGAATGGAAGAGTTAAATTTAAAAAAAACAACATAAATGAAACTGGGAAAAAAGTGATTTCCTTAAAAATATAGAAACTGATTTATGTACTTAGATTTATGTACTGTATACTCAGAGTTTGTTTCCTAACCATGTCATAAACATTCCCCAGAAAGTGTTTTATATAATATGTCCTATGGCATTGCTTTTTGTTATATACTCAGCCCAAAGCTAATGCAACTGAAAATTATACTGAGCTGTCCAGCTAAGAAGCAGCATGTTCCCTTTTATCCCCAACATAAGGTTTGCTGTGAACCCAATTTAGAATAATTAAAATTGATTAATAATATGGCCATGGATTGGCATTTACCTACCTTTTGACAACTGAGTTGCTACTTTGTGCTATTGTAGGTACCAAAACACACAGGTTTCTTATACAGGTAGTCCTTAACCTATGACTGGTTGCTTAATGATTGTTCAAAGTTATGGACCTATCTTAGGGCTATTAAAATCCAGTTCCAAAATTCCAAAAGTCGAGACTCCTCCATGGTTATATGACTGCACCTTGAGTACTCAGCAGTACAGATGTATTTGCAGTTGTTTACAGCAATCCAGTGACCACATTTTATGATGGTTGTACTGAAAATTGGCACTTACTTCCAATTTTTGGCAAAACTATGCCCATAGCAAACCATGGTGTTTGCTTAATGAGTCCTGCAAAAAAAGTTGTAAAATTAGGATGGTCATATGACCAACTTATTTTACAAATGTTACGACTTATGACCTTATTGGGCAGACTCCATTACGATCATATGTTGAGAATTACCTGTATATATGAATTAGCAGCTTTTTAAAATGAGCACTAAACCTGCTGCTTTTATGAATGAGCTAGCCCATGCTGTATGATCTGAACCTGCCATCTATGTGTTACTGATACCAATAAGTACATAACTGGGTTTTTACCCCAAAAAAGAGATGTTATGTTTGTAGCTTGTACTGTTTTTATTACTTTGGGGAGATGAGCAGAATGGCATGTCCTTTGCTTCTGCCATGTACTGTTGCTGACAGCAGCAATTGTTCAGAACAGGACTCATTAGTTATCAGTTGTTTCTTTCCATTTCTCTCTATGCTTCTTGACAGGTTGCAGGCATAGAGATGGGCATGGGATAAAGCAGGAGGGAACTCTATAGGAGAGAGAGAACCTCCAGTGTGCCTTGCAATCCCTTCTCTGCCCCTGTGATCTGTGAGATAAGTGTTTCCGAAATGGCCAGACTCTCAAGATCTGACAGGTGACTAACTTGCTATTCAAAACATTCACCTATACTTGCCTATCTGTGCTTTACACAGATAAGCCCTGTTAAGGAGAGAGATTGGTGTTTGTTTTTCCTACCTGCAGTTGATGCTTGGTAGAATCTGCTAGTTGCTTTCCTCAACTTGTCCCACATTAAACGTTTTAAGGATAGCATCACTCACTGGCCTCATTAATGAGGCACTCTAGGGCTCATCCATTGGGACTGCATAATTTATGCTAACGTATTTATCTGCCAAATCGAAAACTAGTGAATTGAAGAGTAAAGTTCTCTGGCTGTGCCCTCTGACTGGCAATACACTTCATAGCAAAAATTTAGTTTCCTCAGCTGCAGTCTACAGTACCTTTTTCATTAAATCTGAAAATGTCAGGTGTTAAACCTGGGAAATTTCATGAACATTTACATTACCCCCCCATTGGTTTTTTTAACTGATGAATCACACAAGTTACTTATATTTAGCTGGTACTCTTGAATCTTCACATGTACTGCTGCCAGGTCTCCCCAACATGGTGATAATACATATGATTTTTCTTATTTGGATACAAAACCATCGACTATCCTCCTGTTGAATTTAGTCCACTGTTCAAGCGGCTATTTCCTTCTAGGTTAATGCAGAACCATTAACCAATTGTAAATCTGCTCACCTACAATACTGTATGCTGGTCTGTAATAACTCCTTTATGTATCTTGCCCATCAGGATACCATATGAATCTTTTCAAATTTGTTTTGACATCAAGGTACATTATGTCCATACATTATCTTGATCTAATAAATTAACCAGTCTCTTGTAAAAATAAGTAGGTCTGATATGATTTACTATTAATCATCTCATGCTAACTTCTGATAGTACCTAATAATTTTATCCTTTCCTAAAATGTTCATGGTTGTGCTGCTTGACAATCTGTCCTAGTAAATTGTTCTGTACAGATGTTAAGGTAACTGGTTTGTAGTTTTCAGGTTTCCCCTCTTCTCCTTTTTTGAATATTAAGTTTATGTTTGTTCTCCAGTTTTCTGACATCTCACTTGTTCTCTAGAGAATACCAGTCTGTGATTATTAGATCTGCCAGTTTTCCCAATGGCTGGAATGTAATTTGCCTGCCTGGAGGAATGTCCATGGGGTCACAATGGGTCGGACACGACTTCGCAACTAACAACAACAACAATTTGTATAGGGTAGCAAGGAGACCACATCTTTATGGTTTTGGCACAGAATGTATAATATTTAAAAGCTAATGAAGTACAAAGAAAAGTTAATGTGAGACGATGGAATTAAAACAACTCAGATGTTAATTCTCAAATCTGCGGGTTACATAAATGGGTTGCAAGGACATTCCCCTTTAAGAGTCTCTCCCCCCCAAAAAAAAATAGTAATGTCAATTGGAGCAGGACAAAAAAACATGTAGAAAAACAACTTATTCATTTTGCCCCTTGTAGTCAAATCTCAGTGCTTCAACTTTTCACATCTTTCCTGTCTATCAAGTGTCCTCACCTGAGTGAGGGTTTTAACTGAATTTTTTTAATCGATGTCCTAAATGTGCACTAAGTTGTTCAGAACTGTGGTGCTCCCACATGATGTTTAGAGGGTTAAAGTGGTCAGGGCCAAAATCAAAGAGCCTAAGATTAAATAAGCCCCTTATTTATTTATGCATATCCCACCTTTATTATTTTTCATGACTATCACAATCATCCTCCTGGGATGCCCCCAAACCATCCACCGACTCCCATCATACTCTACCCTAGTTCCAGTGGTAACAAATAGATCTTTATGGCCTTTTGGAAGTCTAAAAGGTGGGGGCCTGCTGGATCAATTGGGGGAAGGTGTTCCATAGGATGAGGCGACAACAGAAAAAGTATGCTTCTTAGGTCCTACTAGATGGGGATATTTCAGGAAGTGACCTGGAGTATGTACCAATTAAGAGATTGAATATATATTTAAAACAAATTTAGAAGATTCCCCTTGCTCCTAAGTTATACCTATTTAAACTTTTTTTAAAATATAGAATACAAAGCCAAATTCCAGATTATAAGGATGACTAATGGATCCTTAATCCATGATGTTGTTTTAAGTAGATTTTTTGCCTTTGTAGTTTAACCATGAATATGGGCAACATGAAAGTATTTCTCAGCAAATTGCATTGGAGTTTGATTTGGCAACTGTCCTGATTACCACAGCCCTTTTTTCTGTTGCTTGTGTCCTAACTTCATTAAAGTTTATTATTTGGCATTTTCTGCCACTAGCAATAATACAACAGGTTTACTATGGTTAGTGGTTAGTAATCTATCATGTAGTACAGCAATAAGTAATAGCATTCTAAGTATTCCAAGATAACAAAGGAACGAACATATTGTGTACTGACTTAACATTAGCATGATATTCTGGTGTACACTAATGGATTTTTTTTTATTTGTGCATTACTTTCTCTCTTTGCTTTTCTTTTATATAATTTATATAAATAATTTATACACTTTTCCATTATGTAATTTAGAATATTCATTCACTCATTTAGATCCTGAAAGAATAAGTAACTTTGCGTGTTTCTTTCTTTGGACAGAACAAGGTGTAACTATAATTTGTTTTGCTTTTTCACACAACTCTGCTGCAACTACTTCTCCGTTTATTTTTTAACATTGGCTTTAGGGATCTGGATTGCAAAAATATGGTAAAAAAACATAGGACTAGTTTAAGACATGACACAGCCTTATACATAAAAATATTGGAATCTGGCGTAAGTCATGCAATGTCTGTTTGCAATGTCATGCAATGCCATTACTGCTTCCAAATGACAAAAGCTTTAAAGAACAGGGAAAAAAATCTTTTAGTAGAAAGGGCAGATTGCAGGAAATGTGAATTCTCAGAGTTATAATATAACTATTATACCACATGGCCTCTTAAAATAGCCCTAGAAGGGATTTCTTCCCATCAAAGCCATTTATCTGAAACGGTATAGGGTTTCCTGCCTGAGCAGGGAGTTGGACCAGATGACCTCCAAGGTCCCTTCCAACTTTATTACTATTATTGTTATTATTATCATCATCATCATCATCATCATCGTGGTTTATATTATATCTTGTTCTCCCAATTTACCTTTTCTACAGGGCTGGCTTTTGCTATTCTATCATCAGTGCATCCAGTGTTTGGTTTATATGGATCACTCTTTCCTGCTATTATTTATGCCATATTTGGGATGGGTCGTCATGTTGCCCCAGGTAAGTTATTTCTAAGTCCTAGTGATTCAGTCTGAAAAACTTAGCCTATGTCTTTGTTCACTCTATTAATGTTATTTTCTATTTATATTCTGCGGTATTTCTTACAGTATGAGTTGAACCATGTGCATGCACACAACAGATATACACACTAAGCCAAAATCAAGCAGAACAAATTGTATCATAGTGCTACACACAGAGAATAAAAATACATTTTTGCTCTTTCCATGGGAGAATAATATCTGGTTGCCTTCTCTGAAAGCTGCCCAGTACTATTCAGCTTCTATTCTTTAGTAAGAACCCCTTGCAAATTCATTGACTGCAAATGGAGCCTGTATTTCAGCTATGCATAATGAGTTGGATTCTTCATAACTATGTTGTTCAAGTGATTGAGTTAGTGATACTTGTATTAACATTACTGTTCTAAGTGATTATGATTTCAGTCATGGACTGTAGTTTAGAGAAGATAAAGAATACATCCCAGAAACAAGGATTGTTTTGTGTGCCTCTCTGTACTTCCTTTACATCAACATTCTTTCCTTCCCCCTTTCCCTTTTTTCCCTTTTCTTTATTTATGAAATTTTGGGGGAGTATGTGAAACAAATTTAAAATATCCAACATTATATTTCCTTCTTAAAATTCCTGTAGTTAAGGGATAGGATTGTTATGCACTTTATATGATTAAGTCTATAGTAGGTTCATGACATCCCTTATTTAGCTCTCTCTCTTTTTCTTTTCTTTCCTATAACTCAAAAGTGTCTTTCAACATATTAGCAGTAGATGCCAAAGTTTTAGGCTGCACTCTTTCTCAGTCCTACTTATAGAGAGACTCTCTTGCTTACAATGCATACATCATTCCTACTTCTTTCTTCCTTTTTGATATCTTAGCATGTAATGAAGTTCAACAAGCCTGGATCATTCAGGTTTGTTGCATTATTCTGTATTTCATTTATTTTGAAACAATGACAGTCTTCAACTTAATAATTAAAGACATTGACTTTTTAAAATGTGAAGCAGGTTTATTTCCTAGAAGAAACCATCTGGTCTTAGTTGCAAAAAACAATGAAGCTGGATATGGGGCCATGTCTCCCATAATTCAGTATGGGTTGAACTTGATGTAGGAAGGTAAAGAGTTGTGTGTTTCTGATATTAGGGATGGTGTCTCTCCACTTAAAATTCAGAACTGTATGGAACCACACACAAAGCTAAACCCTTTGGGACTGAAAAGTTCAACTATATGCACATTCTGCTTGGTTATTATTATGTTTTCTGAGAAGCAGTTGTTTTCCTTTGAGTAATTGTGTGGGTCTTTGCAAATAGCCTATGTGCCAGAAGTGCATTCAGCATTTACATTTAACAACTCTGTGGGAGCCATGTGGTCTACTAGGATAGCAACATCCCATCCAAAGTACATAGAATTTGCATCGGAATGTATCCAAAGCATTTTGTTAAAGCTCTCTTGCCACTTACTGGCAAGCTGGATTTGGATTTTGTGGTGAGTTCCTTAGAAGTGATGATAATGTTGAGTCAGCAGAGTAGACGTTATGTAGTTATTTCATTTTAAGTGTAAAAATTGCCCAAGTGGGACACAATGCACTATTAGTTTCATTAAAAAAAGGCATTTATACTATCTTATACTTTGGAAAAATGTTGGATGCACTTTGATATTTTTTTCAAGTGGTAAATATCTGAGCAGATGTTTACAGATTCTGCTGTTACAGTATTTAGTTTATCTTTAAATGAAATAAGAATCACCAGGATGAAGAAATTCTGTTTAAAGGCACATTCTGAATACAGTAGTGAAAACAAATATTAAAATACATTTTAATTGTTATATTTTCTTAAGTGATCTATTTGTTCCTTAAGAATGTGTTTGTTGTAAAAGTCTCAGATATATCAAAGATGAATAACCCAAGGCCTCAGGGCTATACAGGGGCTTCAAAATCCTTGACTTTACTCCTCAAGATCTTTAAGAATTACCAAATTGTAACTGTTTGACAGAAGGAAAGGAAGGAAAGGAAAGGAATTAAAGAATGACCATATTAAGTACAATATATTTGATTTTAAATATAGCAAATGCAAATTAAATTAAATCCTTCTATGACTTTTTTTCTAGGGGTACCAGCTTTCATAATTTTCATACTGGTTGGTTATGCTATAAAAAAATTGTGCAGTTAATAGGCCCATCTATTAGGAAGGGGTTATATAGGAAGACATTATTGCATCTCTGACTGATGGATGCAAATTCAGTCCATAGAAAAGGGAAAGGTGTGTTTTGCAGGCTAAATTATTTGTCCACCTTGGTTTGTATTGTGTGCCTGAAGTCTCTAAAACTGAGACAGAAGTCTTTTCTGTTGTTTCTTTTACACTTACAATCAGCAATTGATTTCTTCTGCAAAAAACCAATTTCTACCTATTCTAAACTATTTCTTTCCCCCTTATTTTATGCTAACATTTATGCAGTCTAGAGCACTGCTGGACATTAAACTATCCCTGGAAATAGTAAAAAAATATTAGACAAACTCCAGCACAAAGATTGCATGTATATGCAGTCATATGACTTATGTATATACAAAAAACAGTGAACAGCTTGTTGCCTAGAATTTGTATAATGTACAATGGAATTATCAATATGGAAATGAATGCTCATGGCAAGAGAAACCATATTGTTTGCAGAAAGCAAAATTATGATCAAGCTATTCTCCAAAACATCTGAAGGCAGGACAAGAAGCAATAGATGGAAACTAACCAAAGAGAGAAGCAACCTAGAACTAAGGAGAAATTCCCTGACAGAACAATTAATGCTCCAACACTGGAAGTTTTTAAGAAGAGACTGGATAGCCATTTGCCTGAAATGGTATAGGGTTTCCTACCTGAGAAGATGGTTAAACTAGATGACCTCCAAAGGTCCCTTCCAAGATGATGATGATGATGATGATGATGAATGATGATATCCATTCAGTCATGTTGACTCTTGGCGATTCTCTGGACCTGGTCTCTCCACATCTTCTAATCTTGCCCTACTTCTTTGAGTTGTTCTACACTCTGGCTGGTGTCAGTTCTGATGCTGGAAAGAAAATACGCAGGAAGGCTTAGTGCTTAAAGTATCTGGTATAGCTATGGCATACTGACAATTAGAATTCAATCAATTGGTTAATCAATATCACGATATCTCACAACTTTTGAAAGTTCAAAATGTTTATAAAACATAACATGTTCAAAGAATTCATGTTAAAATTAGAATTAGTTGGACATAGACTGAAATCATACAGCTATGGTTTATTTAACCATGATTTTGTTGAATGTGCTATAAGTGAGAAAGATCAAACATCATGATAAGCCATATTTAAATGCAGAGATTGGGCTCACACAACATGTCATGTCCAAAGCAAGCAAACTGAATCATGGTTTAGCTGTAAAGTATGACTTTCCTCCTAAGCAATTTAAAGTCATGTGATAGGGATTAAACAAATGAAAACCAAGTCCTCTTTCTTCTTTCGCAGGAACCTTTGCTCTGACCTCCTTGATTTCTGCAAATGCTGTTGAGCGTCTTGTTCCTCCCATAAACACCAATTTCACTTCAGACAATACATCTGAAGTATTGGGCTTATCTGAGTTTGAGATGCGAAGGATTGGAGTTGCTGCAGCAGTTTCACTGCTAGGAGGGCTGATTCAAGTAGGTTTTTCAGAATTGCTAATTTTATAACTAGAAAACCAGTTCTTTCACCAAAATAGTTTCCAGGCGAAGCAAGCCAATGGAGAAGGATGTATTTCCACATGATTTGGGATTATATTTCACATGTAATCATGGTTTGTAGTGTAGGTTGAAATGTATTCGTTTCACTTAATACAATAAATATAAACATGGCACACAAATCACAATGTCTAGGGTTTCACAACACACTGATTCAAAACTGAACAAAGTCTGTTTGGTGAGAGTAGATAATGGCTGCATTCCAGAGGTTAATAAATTATAACTCTGCCATTCTTAGGAAGGATAGCCAATGATGAGGTATGATGGAAGCTGTAATTCTCAATATCCCAAATGTCTCTGCTCTGCATATTTTTAAGACAATCCTCTGGCTTAGCATGATTTATAACCCACCAATGGGGTGACTGTGTTTCAGAAGAAGTGCTGTATCAGCAGTGTTAATTTGGATTACTTTTGTACATGAAATGAATGGAAAAGCCATCTTCTTCACCGTGCATAGCAAATGTTAGCGTAGGGTATAGCTGCATGTTCCACAATTACCATGCACAGTTTCATAAAAAGTCAATCATCTCAATAACTCTAGTGACTTTGCTTATATCATTTATAAATAAGCTCAAATAATCAGTTGCACATATGCTCTTATATCTGGAAATGATAATTATGCTTCTTCCATTTTCCTGGTACAGGTTCGGTCTTTAAAAAAATGTGAATATGTGAAAGATGAAGAATAATTTGTGTTGCTGAATGTTGCATGTTTATCTTTAAGAGTCTATGGCAAAATGACAATGTCTGCATGGATCATATCCATAGTGAACTATTAGAGTATTCCAGTTTTGTAATGAAAACAATTTTTATAGAAATTGCATAACATATTAAATGAGTCTCAGACATTTCTGCTCATATGCTTTCTTTCTGGTCAGTTATAGGCTTTGCAAATTAGACAACATCCAGCTCAAATCATTTATTGAATTATGAAACATTTAGAACTGATTTGGGAAAAATGTATTTGTGTAGACTCATCTTCATTGGTTTTAGAGGAACTCAGTTTTTCAATATTTCAACTGAATCACCTTTGAATGTAATATCTGAATGAAATGTTATTGTAATAAAGTTGAACATATATTAGCAGTAGAACTGGCTGTCTGTTTGTTTTCTACACTAGCTCCTGGTGTGTTTAAAAGACTTATCATTGCTTGCTGATAAATACTATCAGAAGGAAAACATATTTTATTCTCACTGAGCATGAACACAAAAACTAATTGGTCTTTTTTGTTCTAATCTTTGTTTATCCAATGGAGAGATAAGGCATGCTTTTGAATTGACCTACAGTGGGTACAGAATTCTGGGAAATCTTTATTTTTTTTTCAGAGTTTTATTCAGTCTTTCATCTCTCAGTAGTTTGGGCCTTTTTCTTTTCATCTTACTCTCTCTTTTTTCATCAGCTACAGCACAACTTCCAGAGATCTCCAGAGGTTGATAGCACATCATAGTTTTTAACACAGCAAAAGACAATTGTTAAACACATGTGATTGGAGAGGGATCATATTCACCAATCCCTGCTGATATTTGCTTTGGACACCATTTTCATGGCTAACTTTGTTATGTGAACCCGATCAACTGCGGCTTGCATCACAAATCATGTTTTAGCTGATCATAGCCTAGATAGCTCAGTGCACAAACTGTAAATAAAGTTTTTGTTCTAAAGGAAGGTCAATTACAAAACTTGTCAGGATGTTCTGAATAGCTGCGTTCATGCTCTGCTGAGAGTTTTCTTTTTGTTTTTAAAATGTATCAAATAATTCAAGCAAAGATCAGGAACAAATCTAGCTGCTAAAGCTCTTGACTTTTATTTCCCTGAATATGATCTTCCTATTTTAACTATGGACAGGTAGATGTGTGTATGTATGTATGTTTGGGTATGTGTAAATGTGTATTGCATGTAAATAAATAAATACATAAATACTATCTCTTGGAGGATGTTTAATAAAATTCAGATAAGCTTTCCATCAGCACTTGAGTTTTATTTAATGTTCCTTGATTTAGCAGATTTTGGGTGTAAGGGGCCATCTCAAAAATGGCTTCCTAATCCAAACTGAAGAATAGATTGAAAATGTCAAAAAAACCCTCTGCTTTAATAAACTCACTATTAAATTAGGATTGGAGGTTATCAACACACATTCCAGGATTCTGCACTTTGCCTCTAACTATTGCCTTATTGAAATCTGTGTGATTCTTCTTTCCTTGACTGTGCCCTTGGTGCAGGGCTTGACAAAACTATCTACATCACAAAGCTGTTCTGGAGAAAAATGAGAGGAAGGTGTCCATGTGTACCTCTTTTTTCATTCTTGAAGAAAAGGTGGGGTATGCATCTAACAAAGAAACATACAGACACAGAGATGTGGACACACACAGAGAGAAACATAGACACAGACATACACAAGCTGTGGCTCTTCTAACTCTTCAGTTTGTGATGTCTAGAAATCTTAACTTTTTACATTTCAAATTTGTTAGTCTGAATTTTATAAACTGAATACAGTTAGTCCTCAATTTACAATCATTCGTTTAGTGACCTTTCCAAGTAACAAAAAAGTGACTAATGGCAAGTTTTTACACTTAGGACCTTTGCAGCATCCCCATGGTCACATTATCAAAATTTGGGAGCTTGACAAAATGTATTTATGACAGTTGCAGCATCCTGGGGTCATGTGATCACCATCTGTAACCTTTCCAGCCGGCTTCTGACAAGCAATATCAATGGGGATGCCAGATTCAATTAATAACTGCATGATTCACTTAACAACTGCAATGATTCATTTAACAACTGTGGCAAAAAAGGTCATAAAATGGGGCACAACTCACTTAACAATAATCTTGCTTAGCAACAGAAATTTTGGGCTCCATTTTGGTTGTAAGTTGAGGATTACCTGTATAGTAACTTTTAAATGTATCCAGTGTGATGTCTGTGGCTTAATATTTGTCCTATCCGCAGAGCTTTGTACATTGGAATAACCTAAAGCCAATGAATACAAATGGCTAGAGCCAGTTATTATAATTAATCTCAGCACAGAGCCTGGTGGTAAACTAGCAATACAAGAGAGATAGCATTGTAATAAATGTATGAAAGTTAATATGTGTTGAAAGGTTATTCATGGGTACAATGAGTAATGAAATAACTTCTACTTGATTAGCTCATGTAACTTTCTCATCCACTATTTTTTTAAAAAATACAAGATAGCGTTTTTCTTTCCTACATTAGAATCAATAACTGCCTTTGGTTATAATCTCTATTATATTTCTGGTTTCTCAGGTAGCAATGTTTATGCTACACTTGGGCAGTGCGACCTTCTTGCTAACAGAGCCAGTGATAAGTGCAATGACAACTGGGGCAGCTACACACGTTGTAACTTCTCAAGTGAAGTATCTCCTGGGAATGAAAATGCCTTATATCTCAGGACCTCTGGGATTCTTTTATGTGAGTATATTGATAAATGTTTGTTGTGCTGTTTTGCACATATTTTCATACTTATTAAAATTGCAAGAAGAGCTCTAAATATTATCGTGACCTCTTGGGTCAGGCCTTATTTGGTTACCTCTAATTGGAGTCAATTCTGGATGCAATTCTAGATTTGCTACCTGATGCTATCTGGAACGTGACATGAGTTCTAAAGCCCAGCCACATTCTACTGACTAGTCTTCAAGATGCTATGTAGATGTATGAAGTAGAAAACATTAATATTTGTAAACAACCTATCATAAAAACTACAAGGAAATTGATAATGCCATCTGGTAGTACTGATTTACATTTATATTGAAAATGTTATTTTTATTCTTGCTCAGCACACAAAAGTATACAGTATAATAACAAATAAGAAATAAATGCAGGAAATAACCCCAGTGAAATGCCCTGGGGTAATAATATGTCCATCAGTTATTTCTTAGTGTCCTTCATAACCTTTTAATTTTTTTAAAATTAAATTAATAGAAAACCAGCATGCTACAAAAGTAAAGAATCAGCCTCAATTATGATTTCAATTTTACAATGTTTCTGGGTCCCACATACTGTAGATCCCAATGAATTCTTTGAAAATAAAATAATGGCCCAGTGTCTTGTTTGCCTTTTGAGCTGGTACATTTGTGACTAGTCATGTATACTTTGCCAACTTTTTATAAGAGTAACAATAACATTCACTCAAAATTCCAAATATCTCCCCAACTCAGAAAGATCCTTATCTATATGCTTCATCTCCATAATAGAAGTTTGGCTGTATTTTGAATATTTCTTGTCATTTTATCTCACAAAATGATTATGCCTGTTTATGTTTTCTACTGTATTCATATTTATTAGTAGAAATACTGTACTACTATAAAGAAAATCATGCTGTAGATATGTGTATGGGTTCCAGAATTTGATCAAATCAAGCAGGGTCACATAGATTCCATTTTTACTCTTTTTATTCAGTTTACAGAGACAGGAAGAAGCAGTGTGGATATTACTGAAGTCTTATCTGAGCAGACAAGCAAAGTGTATTTTGGTTTACTAGTAAATATCTTTTTAGTAGTTTACAGATTTTCTACATTCAAAAATTGTTTCCATACTCCATCTTCCACAAACAATGAATATTTAGGATGTATTCTCAGGTGCATATACAGTTCATGAGGCCTCAGAACTGTTGGAAGCTGGTATATTTGAATTATAGGCCGGACCTGTCAAACATCCAATATAATTTGATTGCTTCTCTATAGAGGAAAGAAAAATACTCACAATGGATAAAGTATATTTTATGAAGCTTTTTTGCATAACTGATCTTGTCACTGACACTCCCCCCCCCCAATACTAGAAGAATCCAGAGTTTATAGAAGTTAAATTTGTTGGACAATGATTGTTCTGCCTAACTGCATCTTAAGTCATTTAAAAAAAAAATAGTAGCAAAGGATTAAAAAAATGTGTTCCATTTTTTGTCTTTTTAATGGCACAAAAATCATGCTTTTAAAATGTCAGTTTTTTAATGTGGCATTTAATATTTAATATATTGGCCAAAAGTAAGAGTCTTTATTTTTATTAGAAAAATTATTTCCTTTTTAAAGAGGCTGTTCAAAATCAGGGGAAAATTTCATGTGCTTCATGGGAGGGGGACCAGTATAAGTAGTCCTTGATTTACAACAGTTAATTTATTGACTGTTCCAAGTTACAAAGGCACTGAAAAAAGTAACTTATGACCATTTTTCACAGTTACAACCTTTGCAGCATCCCCATCGTCACGTGATCAATATTCAGATGTTTGGCAACTGGTTCATATTTATGACTTTTGCTGTGTGCCAAGATCATGTGATACCCTTTAATGACCTTTTGATAAACAAAGTCAATGGGGAAACCAGAGTCACTTAACAACCGAGTTACTAAAGACAAATTTGACAAATACTTCCTTATTCTGCTCAGTTTTTCTTTTCTTTTAATCCACATTTCTTTTAATCCAACATAATTACAGCATGTTGCTTTTCTTTATTTTCTTCTACAATCTTCACTTTTTTTCTTTTGGCTTAAATTTTCTTGGATTTCAAAGAAAGAATTATTATTGTGAATAAAATGGAGATAAAGAACCATAAAGAAAACAAGCCAATAAACATTTTGTTTTATATATAATAAGATCATAATTCAACATGAACCATGAAATGTATATGGAGAGAACCAACCTATTCCGGAGACCCCTTGTGATTAAACATCACAGATTTATATAAAATTGCAAAGTGGTTTAGGGTTGCAACAACCCTAAATAAAACATTTCTTTAATATGTATTTTGTCTGATGAGATTGGTGCTTCTACTATGGTTCTTTCTGTGTGCTACAGATTCAGAAGTATCCTCTGACTCTATGTAGCTTTTTTGTTGCATGCACCAAGTAAATTGTTATGTACTGAGACTGTTAGTTCATTAGTATAGCTGATATTGAGTATATTATTAACTTTCTAAGATCTGAGACTGGAAATACCTATGCATGTTGGGATTGGATCTAGAAATTTCTGCAGAAAAAGTTATTCTCTAGCTGTGGCCCTCCATTAAGTATATAGCAACTGTGGAAAGTGAAAAGCTAGAAAGAGACAAAGAGGTATCTACAGAGGTGACATTCTCAATTTTGGCTCATGTACTGAAAGTATTATTGTACATATATTGAGGAAAAATAGGAGTCATTGGAGCTTCTTGTATGGATTATGGAAGACTAGATGTGGAGACAACATTATGGCTGAGAATGCTATCTAGAGCGCAAACATTGGCTGTGAAAACTAGTCAAGGAGAGATTGTGAGATAGCCCTTTGTATTCTGGACAGCTGCTCGTTATGAATAAACTGTAGAAATAGAAGTTTTAGCAGTCACTTTGCAAGTTGAGCAACTGGGAATTGTCGGATTCCATCTATGCCCACAACCACAGTGTAATTGTCAGTTCATCACAGAGCTGACTTTGCAGTCCCCTTCTGAAAGCACAGAGTTTAGCACAATGGGGACAATGGACGTCCATTATAGTAATTGTGGATGTTATTTTGTGATGGTGCTCACAGTTTATTAAACCAGAACTTGTATTGATTGATGAGCATAGCAGATTTTTTGGGGTGGAAATCAATGTACATCAGACTAAGACTTTCATACTGGGAATTTATTCTCCAAATGAGGACAAATCATTGTCTTATAAAAACATATAGAAATATTAATATTTAAAATATTTTTTCTTATGAAAATTGGTTTTTGCTGATTTGATAACTGGAGAGAACATCTTAAGCTTTAATAGTAACAGTTGTCTATGTTAACAATAAGAGAAATGGAAATAAAATGTAACTATGTAAAGCAAAAAAAACCGACCCTGTTGAAATTAAAAATAAACTTGGGAAATTACTGATGTATAAATATTAATACACAATTGAGATCAGAGGTTTTTCTTTTAAAATTGATAGACAAACAATTGAAAAAATGTCATGGAAATTTATTTTTGTACACAATAACTGCACCAAGATTATTGTATGCACAAAGAAGGAAACATTTGGTAGTACCCACAATGGAGGAATGGTTGGTGATGATGATAGAACTTGACAAGATGGCTAAATTGACTTCTTATTTAGAGAAAAGACAATATCTATGGTCACTGTTGCCTTTATAGACTTATTGAGTCCTTTGGGATTGGGCGGCATATAAATATTTGTAAATAAATAAATAAATAAATAAATTGAGTCCTTATAGACTTTTTGCATGAAACAGAAAAAACATGAAATGTTGTGGATGATTAGGAAAAAGAGATAATAGAAAAGATTGTTTTTTATTGTTGTAATAATAGATTAGGACAGTGGTTTCCAACCTTTTCTATACCCTGCACCCCTAGAACGCTTCTGATATATTCTTGCACCTCTTACAAAAGTTTGAAATAACGGCAACAAATTATGCATATATGCTACAATTTTAAAACTTCTAAATCCAAGTTTTTGCACCCCCTGGACTATCATCTCACACCCCTGGTTGGGAACCCCTGGGTTAGGAGATAATTTTAGATATAATTGTTGTAAAGGAAATTGAAAGCAACATATTTCTATTTCATTCTCTAAGGGACATAGGTGGTTAAGAAATAAGAAATATAAATAAATAGCATTCTTATATTTTATACTTTTGGCTTTTTCTTTTTTTTCTTTATATTAGTTTTTGTTAGTTTTTATCTTTGTCTTAAAGACTTAATAAAAATTATATATATGTACATGTATGTATATATATGTATATGTATGTGTGTGTATAAAATAACTGAGCCGAGGTGGCGCAGCAGTTAGGGTGCAGTACTGCAGGCCACTTTAGCTGACTGTGTTCAGCAGGTCAGCGGTTCAAATCTCACCAGCTCAAGGTTGACTCAGCCTTCCATCCTTCCGAGGTAGGTAAAATGAGGACCCAGATTGTTGGGGGCAATGTAAATATATATGTACATTGCTTACTGGTGTACACCGCTTAGAGAGTGCTTGCACTTAAAGCGGTATATAAGTCTCATAAATAAATAAATAAATAAATGTATGTATGTGTATGTATGTATGTGTATGTATATACATACATACACACATACACATACATATATGTACATATATATATACATATATGTATGTGTGTGCGTGTATGTATGTATGTATACATATATATATATGGAAAAATATGAGCTCATTCTAGACAGGTATCACACTTACATGGGAAAGAATCATGTCACTTCCATTTTTCAAAGTACCTGTTTCCAGCTGTAGTTGGCTATGTAGAATGTGGAGATATGCAATATTAAAAAGAAAGTATACAGCTTCCAAGCCAGCTTTTTCAAGACAAGGCATGGTAGGATTCCACTTGACAGCTGAAATGCTGTATAGAACATTTTATGAAAATAAGAACAAGCTAAACATATATAAATAATTTTTTAACAGTGAATGTTCATATTTAGGACCCGTCTCTTATTTTTCTTATGAACAAATTTCTGAATTAGATGATTCAAGGCTTAGATTTAAATTATGTTGTAAAGCAATTTCATTCTGAATCAGTGTTGTGTTTGGCTGCCAAACATTGGAGAAAAGCACTTTTTGGCGATTTAATAGGGACTTTTTGCCTGTAAAATTGGATTTGTTAGCAGAGATTTCAATCTTTTGAATAAACCTGTTTGCTTTGATAGCTGCACCCATTTAGAACTTCAACCTTAATTGCTTTTCTTTGCAATTATACTTCTGGCATGCTAACTCTATGGAGTCACTTATATGTCTTAGCATGCACTATTCAATAAATGGCTGAATTATACAGTTGTTGAAGCTCTAATGTGCATCTCTGTTGGGGGTGTACTCTGCCAGCTCAGTCTTACCATGTTCATGAGCCACTGTTTTATCCTTAGCCTCATCAGAAAATGTGTTTGGGCTTTCCATTCTGAAAATAAAATTTGATTTGAGGTCCTGAGATGAATTTGCTTTTCTTTGATGATTGGATGAATGTCTACATTACTTTTGAAAATATTATCTATGCAACAGGTGATTCTTTTTGTATTGCTGTGATAATCTGTTGAGTTGATTATGATTTAATTAAATGTCAACAACATTTGTGTTTAACTAAACCAGGGGTACCCAACCTCTGGTCCGTGGACTAGTACCGGGCCGCAACATGCCACCAACTGGGCCGCACAAACAAGGAAAGCCCTATCCACAGGTCCCTGGTCCCCAAAAGGTTGGGGACCTCTAATGTAGACTTCTGTAGGTACAGTATATAAAGCCAATATTACAGATTCATACTGTATTCCAGAAGATTAAGAAACCCCTTGGAAATTACAGGAAAGATGAAATATTTAGCAGAAATTAAGCCCTTTTCTTTTCTCTAATAAAGATTTGAACTGGGCATGCATCTCTTCAGAAAACAAAAGAAACTATTATTTGTGAAGGGCATAACTGGATCTAATTTATAATATTCAGGATTAGGTGTCGGTGTCAGTAACTTCTCCATATCTGAATGTAACTATTGCTTATTTATAGGGTATGATCTTTCCTTCCATATAGATTTATGCCTACATTTTTGAAAACTTCAGATCCATTCAGCTGGAAACTGTACTATTGTCTCTATCTAGTATTGCCATACTAGTTCTTGTTAAAGAGTTAAATGAAAAATTTAAGAAGAAAATTAAAATAGTGCTTCCTATTGATTTGGTTCTGGTAAGTATAACTTTTTAATAATTTGCTACAGTTGTTGGCACCTTCTGCTTATTTCATGAAATAAATATTTAGCATTGTAATGATGTTATAATAAATCTGCTGTGAAGCAGTTAGAATAGGGGTCTTCAAACTTGGCCCTTTTATGACTTGTGGACTTCAACTTCCAGAATTCCTCAGCCAGGTACTCCACAGGGTACTGTTACAGGAAGAAAGGAAGGAGTGCTATGCTATGTATCCTTTCTAAAAAGAAAGGCATGACAAAAATTTAACAAATTCACAAGCAAGCTACAATTTTATTTTATAATATAATATATCACGATATAGGATAATTAAAGATTAAAATTCCCAGGAAGCACCATAAATAAATAATTTTAGAAAGCTTGACATTTTTTTAAAAAAAATCTTTTCCTTCTCCCTGTAATAATCAAATAAACAAAATGATGTTGATAAGCAGCATACCTTAAAGTCCACTGCCACAAGATTTGTACAGTGCTTCTCATAAAACTTCTGAGAAAGACATTATATTCTTATGAAAGAAAATGATAATAAAGATTTAATCAATATTGTTTGTGCCCATTAGTGACCATCAGGCAATGTTGTGATATATAAGGTAGGGTAATTAATTTGAGGACTGCCCCAATTTGTTTCTCATAAAAATGTCAGATGAGCTAGCTACGTCGATACTTTTTATTTAAATCAATATATACTGTGGCTCTGATGTAAAGATGTATAAATTTAATGCCAAATCACCATTTTTAGACAGGCTAGTCTAGGACTGCCTATGCAGAAATTTTTACCATATCCTTCCGTGGGATTTTTACATATTTAGAAAGGACAAATACACTATGACTATATGACTCGTACCTTTTTTTTCTGGTCCCACAGCTACTGGGACTCCAGAAAGCATCTCGGGAAGACTGTGGACTCTGTTCAATAATATGAATTAGGATATAAAATCCTGATGAGTGTGGAGGGAACACCTCTGGAATTCTAAAATATATTAAGACATGTCACAGAAGGAAGCATTGGCCACAACTCTCCCAATGTATTTTCCAAGAAGCTATGTGGTCTTTGGATCAAAAAAGATCCCTTTATGTCTCCCCTAAACCCAACAGATGAGGGCATCATAACCTGAGTTGATAATTATGGTACTCAACAAGTGATCCATCTCATAGATGGCTGTATAATTGGTCTTAATCCATATTTCTAAGAAAGTAGAAAAACAGTTACACTACTTCTTATAATCTTGTTTCAAATCAATTTTTATTGTTGCTTGATAATAGGTAATTGCTACATCTTTCATCTGCTATTCTGCTGACATGGAGCATAGTTTTGGCCTAGAAGTTGTGGGACATATTCCAAAAGGGTAATGTGTCTTCTATAAATAAGCTTTTGTGTTTATGTATATGTGTCTACATATAGAATGTAGTTATTTCTTGCCCAGATTTTATAGTCTTTAGTTGTTAATGTGGTCTAAGCAACGAAACAGTTGAAGAATGAAAATAAAAAGTGCACAGTTTGCATTAATACAAATGATAACAATATCTCAGAAGAAGGAATTAAATCAGAATCTGGTACCTAATAATTCTGTTTTTAAATAACATATCACTATTGGTAAATGTTTTCTGCATCTCTTTGAGTGCACTTTCTGTAGTCAGTACAGAGAGTTTTCAAAGGGATAAATCAAATGCTTTTAAATTTATACATTCAATAATACAATAATCTACCCTTTGTTTTTCACTTATGGACTATTCTCTCTTGGGTTACAGATAGGGCTTAATCTTGAATGGAGAAATTTGACATTTAGATCTACCTCTTGTGCCTCCCTGCTACTTTCACAGTAATTTATTTCAGTGTTGGGGAAATTTGAAGGCTGTGCAGTGTTCTTTGCCCCCACACATCCCCAGGACCTGAAATGCATTGAAATAATCAGGAATTGCTATAAATAATTTCCTTTCATTGAACCTTATGGGGGCAGGAATGTTTTTTTTTTTGAAAGGAAAAAAACGTAACTGGACAAGGGATTGGATTTATCACAACATTTTGTTTTCCCAGCACCCACATTTAGGTTTTGTAAAAAGACACTTTAAATTTGAGAATAATTGACAGTGAATAAGGTAAGAATACATTTTTTATTAAAAGTTGTGCACAGCATTTGAAAGAGGCAAGAGTTAAAGCTTTGGCTTCTTAAAAACATTGTGTCCTTTGCATGGCTTGCTTGCCCACTTTATTTCTGTGTCTGTGTAGGTACAGGTAGTCCTGAAGTTACAATCATTCATTTAGTGACTGTTCGCAGTTACAACGGCACCGAAAAAAGTGATTTATGACCGTTTTTCACATGTACAACCCTGTGATCACCTTTTGTGGCCAAGACACTAGGAAAGTCAATGGGGAAGCCAGATTCACTTAACAACTGTGTCAATAAAGGTTGCAAAATGGGGCAAAACTCACGTAACAACTGTTTTGCTTAGCAACAGAAATTTGGGGCTGAATTGTGGTTGTAAGCCGAAGACTGCCTATATGTGTCCTCCCAGCCACTTTATTTACTAGCAGTCCCAGCAGATGTGCCCTGTTGCATATACGTGTACTCCCTTGCAACCAGTTTGGAGCAGTTGTGGGTCTTCCAATTATTTTGAAGAGGAGTGCTATGCTCATATATTAGTTCACTTTTTTATATATCTCTTTCAAAGGCTCTACATGGACCCATTAGTTAATATGATAGCTTTGAGAAAGAAGGCATACAAACATGATATCAACAACACATTTTTTTTAAATGGTAAAATCTAACTTCAAACTAATGGGAGAACCCTCATAACTTTAGAATTTAATGTTTCGGAAAAGAACCTGACCTAATTCCTCTGCCCATTTAGTTCAATCCAAACCTGAAAGAAAATAGTTTTCAAGAGTACTGGAGGTTAAATGAGATATTTTTCTGTGCAAACATATAAATGGTTATATATTTTTGAAGTGCTGCAAATAGCTTGAAAATTTAGAAGGATAATAGGGAGATTATATAAAATCAATAATTCCAACAAGTTTGGAAGGCAGATTAAATAAGATCAATAAGCCCCTTTCCTCCACCAAATATAGATTCTTAAAATAATGGTTATGTGTCATGTGGACTTCTGTTTTGAGGAGCATAAGTATAAATATTTATTTCTCTTTGGATCCTAGGCAGTGGCAAATCTTCATCGGTTCTTAGACCTGTTATATATCTAAAATGTTTGAATTAGGATTTCAGAATAGAAAATGGGTTGGAATTTCAGGTCCCAAGTTAAGTAAGCACTGAAATTATCAAGAGGAAAGTGATACATAACAATAAAACTATTAATAAACTTTATTCCTGGATTCCTTACTGTAATAACGCATACAGGTAGTCCTTGATTTACAAGCATAATTGAGCCCAAAATTTATGTTGCGAAGTGAGACATTTGTTAAGTGAGTTTTGCCCCATTTTACGATCTTTCTTGCCACAGTTGTTAAGTGAATCACTGCAGTTGTTAGATTAGTAATGTGGTTGTTGAGTGAATCTGGTTTCCTCACTGACTTTGCTTGTCAGAAGGCCGCAAAAGAAGATCACATAAATGTGAGTCAGTTACTGAGTGTTTGAATTTTGGTCACATGACCATGGGGAATGACGTAACAGTCGTAAGTGTGAAAAATGATCATTTTTTCAGTGCTGTTGTAACTTCGAATGGTCACTAAACAAACCATTGTAAATTGAGGATTATCTGTACTAATGGAATAATTCTTTCACAAAGAATCACTATGGAGATGCCAGTGAACCAGAGCAAAACTAATCAATCAACAAACAAGCAAGCTGCAAAGTAGGCCAGTTAAATTATTCTGAAATTACAAAAAAAGTGGCATTTGAGATTGAGACTTGCATACAGTTATCAAGAAATTAAACTGATGACTGAGCTAAAATTTAAACTGCATAATCCAGATCATGCTCTTAACCTTATGCTAATATAGGAACAATTTAACAGTTTTTAAGAGCACAGAACTGACCACATAATTGATAAATAGATTCAGTCAGTCTTTGTGAATTGGACACGATGGAACAGAACAGTAACAAAAATGCAGTATCTATAATGCATGGGCCTTTGCAGGTTCTAATGATACTCATAATAGTAGAATAATGTACAGTTCAGCTGATTTCTCTGAAATATTCACTTAATATTCACAGCAGCTTTACCACATTCTTCAGTGTGATATTTTCTGCAATCTAAAAGTATCCTTACTTTTACAGTATACCAGCACCAAGTTCTCCACCTTTGAATATCCTCCCTGAAGTAGTGACAGAGGCTTTTGGAGTTGCATTAGTTGGTTATGTGGCATCTCTAGCTCTGGCCCATGACTCTGCTAAAAGATTTAATTACTCTGTGGATGATAACCAGGTAAAAAATAGCCTTAAAATTTACCTTCAGGATGCATTTATTTGGGGACGATGGTATAAGAAATGAAAAGGAAAGTAGACTTCAGTTGAGGGTATTTGATTCTATGGGATTTTGGTCTAGCCTTTTCCTTATTTTTTAAAAAACTTTTTCAGGAGTTCTTGGCTCATGGCCTCAGCAATGTGATCCCTTCATTTTTCTTTTGCATACCAAGTGCAGCAGCCATGGGACGAACTGTACTTCTATACAACACTGGAGCAAAAACACAGGTATTCCTACTGCCATAATGGGTGGGTCAAGACAGTGGCCTATATAGAATGACTATTCAAGTCAGAGAAATATTAGATGTTAATACATCATCTTTAAAAATCCTGCAAGTCTTAGTACGATTAAGAACCAGATCATCATGATAGAGAAACTTTAAAATTTATGGTACTTATTCATTTGGCGTTTAGAGCAGAGTCATACTTATAAAAGGGATGTGTTGCTCTAGAAAATAGCAATTCCTTTCCTTTTCTTACTTCTTCGCCAACATGATGCTCCATATGTTGGAGAAACTTTTGACACAAAAATTTCTCATCACATAATTCTTTTTCAATATGCAAAAGAAGAGAGAGAAAGAGAAAAAAATGACAAGGGCTATTTGTTTTTGATGACAGTTATGTATCTTCCATAATGTATCATCCAGTGTAAAATTCTTGAAGGAAAAACAAAGTTTACTTAAAATGAAGAGTGAATTGGCCACATCAAATACTCTACTGTCTGCAGGGTCCCTGGTGCTCTACCAAACTAGGTAACGCCATACTCTGCAGCAGGGGTCTTCAAACTTGACCCTTTTATAATGTGTGGACTTCAACTCCCAGAATTCCTCAGCCAGCGTGTCTGGCTGAGAAATTCTGGGAGTTGAAGTCCACAAGTCATAAAAGGGCCAAGTTTGAAGAACCTTGATATACAGCTTGATCATGATTTATTAGTTGTTGCTTGTATGTACACTGAAAGCTTATGCACTGGATACAAATTCCTTGTGTGTCCAATCACACTTGGCCAATGAAGAATTCTATTCTATTCTTAGATAGAGTAAAAGAAAGGAAAAGGGTAACTTCTTTAAGAAAATGTAAATTATGCTCATGCAAATCAAATCTGAAGCATTTTTTTTAAAGTAAAGACTTAATTCGCTAACATATAGAAACATTGCATAGCTCTGGTATTAGTATGCTGGAGTAACTAAAGCAGGGTTCTCCATCTGAAGATTTCCAGATATATTAGATTTTCCACCACAGTCAAAAGTCATGGTAGCTTCCAAGAGATGGTTTTGTTACGTATACATCTGTACAAATGTAAATCCACCCTGCATGATTTAAATGAAATGAGGGCATTCACCAATATCTGTGGATTTCAACATTTATACAGATAGAAGTAGACAGTGAACACATTGTTATTTAAAAAAAATACAACTTTACATCTTTGAGTTTTCCTCCTTAAAGCTGTTCTTTAGTAGTGTCTGAAATAATATGCGCCACTTTTGTGTTTATGTTGTATATATTGTTATTTGATAGATATATTTTCTTCTTGAGTAATGTAGGGATACCCTATAACAGTGATGGTGAACCTTTTAGAGACTGAGTGCCCAAACTGCAACCCAAAACCCACTTATGCATCATTGGATGCTGGGTGGGTGTGGCCTATTGGTTGGGTGTGGCCAATTGGGTGGGCGTGGCTGCTGTGGTAACAGCAGACTGGGTGGGACTAAAAAGTTCAATTAATCAATTCCAACTTTGCAAGTTCTTTTTTTTTTCCCGCAAGAAGTTGAAATTGACTGATTGATTTGAACTTTGTTTTTTTTGCACACAGCAGCGGAGGCCTAAAGCGAAAAGGTTTTATAAAACCCAGCTGAAGGCCTAGGACTGGGGCGACAGTGCGCGTTCCCACAGAGAGGGCTCTGAGTGCCGCTTCTGGCACCCGTGCCATAGATTCACCACCACTGCCCTATAATAAGAAAAAATATTAATTTATTCACAAATGTTTCCAACTACATGAGAGAGCCAGAAGTCTCTTTCTCAGCACTGTTAATTTTGTATGTCTGCAGTGGTTTGCTATGCTCAGCAACTTTGAGAAAACCAAAAACTTTTATTTGTAGGTATTTTAGAATCTGAATAATATGATTATTTATATATATATTTTCTTTCCAACTCTTTTTAGGTGGCTTGTCTGATCTCTTGTATCTTGGTGCTTGTGGTTATCTATACAATAGGACCAATGTTATACTGGCTACCCATGGTACATTTCTTTTTTTTAATATTTTTCTTTTTTCTTTTAACCATTATTGTGTGCTTATTATTTAATTACATCATCATCATCATTATTTGGATTGTATAACTATTCAGCTTAAATTATTATTTCTGAAAATGTTCATTCCATTTTTCTTTAGGATTCCATTAAAAAAAGGATATTGCTGCATGCCAAGAACAAATATGTGAAAAAGTACTCTTCATTTTGCTTAGATAAGAACAGTGGAACCTATTGCAGGAGCTTAGATATTGTGCACCTACTACATAAGATTAAAATAGGCTGTAAGACTGAGCTGGGGTTTTGGGCCCTAGCACAAGAACATAATTTATTTTTCCAGTGTATAAACCGTGAAGCACTTATTTTTTTGCTTAAGAAAGAAAACACTTTTTGTGTAACAAAAGTGCTTGCAAGGGAGTTAGGTGAAAAGGAGAAAGGAAAACAACTGTAGGGTAATTTGCTTCTGCTATTTGGCTGGTTTAGGTTGGATCTGCTTAGAACTTTGATGGGAGACCATTAAAAATCGTTGAGCTATAGGCTACATTGGGAAGTTTTTTTAAAAAAAATCCCAAAAGAAAGCAGTGGTTCACCACATCCATATAGCCATTTGTCATATGTTGTTTTAAGTTTCTGCTGCAAAGAAGGGACAATATATATATTATGGCTAGAAATCAGGATGCACTGAATGTAATCTCCAAGAGCCAACTTTGATTCAAAGGAATTTTTACTTTTTATAATATGCAGAAGGAAATTCCTCTGCATTCGGTGGAGCTTATTTTTACATATGTAAGTGCACTCAAATTGCAGATTCATTCAAGAAAAATCATAAAATCCAAGAAGGTTGTCATGTTCAGGTGGAAGATATGATTGCCAGCAGGTCATTATCTTAATCATGAATTGTTTTTGGTTGGCCACCACTGAAGAAAGGAAATAGCTGGAGCTTATAAAAATTACTTGATTAATTAATCACATTTATTTAGCAGCTGATCTCACCAAAAGCAGCTCTACACAGCACACAACAATCGGATAAAAACAAACATCGATCCAATTTTAGTTGTAATTATCCAGTTCTTCATTAGGAGAATGGAGATTAACCAGCTCAATGGAGCTAGACTGGGTTCACCTATCACGTTGAACCATAATCTCAATTTTGTTAAAGTGATGGAGTCCAGACATTCCACACTACACTGTGGAAATGGTTGCTTGTTGGAAATTGGCATGCAGGTATCCAGGGAATGTCCATCTCACCTGTTTTTTCTATGTATTAGAAGTATTAAGCCTTTTGTATTTCTACCTTAGACCTGAAAGTCCAGAAAAAGAAAGCTGTAGTTCAGATACTGTATGCCTATAGTAGTAAAAAACGAAGAAGAATCCTAAAGAAATATGGAAAATAGGTGAATCTGAATATCAGAGCAATCTCTTTCTGAAGAAAGCCTTAAAAGAAAAAACTTCAATCAGTAAGAATTCTGGGGCAGGACAGAAATAGCGACATATGGTAGATACAAGTGTAACAATTGCATTCAGATAAACATATTTAGTTATTTGGTTAATTTTAAAGTTTGTATTATGTATATTTGGGAAAGGGAATGATATATGTATGAACAATATCTGCTCCTGCCTTGTGATTTGCCAGTCCTTTTGCCAAAATAATTTCCCCTCCAGTATAACGAGCACCTTGTAATGAATGTCTCTTCCATCCCAGGGTGTGCTAGCAAGTATCATTGTGGTGGGGCTGAAGGGAATGCTGATGCAGTTCCGAGATTTAAAAAAATACTGGAGTGTGGATAAAATTGAATGGGTAAGTTGAACTTTACTGCATGATCTTTACAGGATATGGAGTAATCTTAAAAGTTGACCCCTTTATCCTTGTAGTGGCCCTGAGTTGCTTGACAGTGAGATGGAAGGCATATAAATTTAATAAATAAATCCTCCCTTTTGTGTCCCAAAGGTGTTTTTGCAAAAGGCAACTAGACTTTTCTTTGTTTTTATGCTTGAAGACATTTTGCTTTTCATCCAAGAAGCTTCTTCAGTTCTGACAGTCAGAACTGAAGAAGCTTTTTGGATAAGAAGCGAAACGTCTTCAAGGATACTCAAGAAAAACAAAGTCCAGTTGCCTTTTGAAAAAGCATCTTTGGGACATTACTGAGAGGCCTGAATATTGCTTTTTTGATGTCTTTTTCAACATCAGGCAATAGCTACTATAGGTCCCATACTGTATGTAGCACTTAGAGTATTGCTGCAAAATTAGCTTTCTGCTTTGGTTGATAATGAAAGTGTTTAGCCAGCATTTTTGTTTCAAACTGTGGTTTTTATTTTTTGCTGTTCACAATTTGTATAATGTTTTCCTGAGTCTTTGTTGTCTCTTTGTCTTCTACTTGAAATTCATAGTCATCATTTTAATATGTAAGCGCTGAGCCAGTCATTTTCCTAGGTTCTATGCCTCAGTGCTTTTGTAAAGTAATGACTTCATTCCAGATGTGATTATAATTTCAATTTGGCAAATTTGCTCTAAGGACTATGCATTGTAATATGATTTATATAGGAATTTGTCCACAATAGAAGAGATTGAAACTAATCAGACTGCCTCATTCAAATGTCAATTAGTCACCAGAGGATAATTTCCCATCATTTTGATTTCCTTAAAATTCCATATGCTAGTGGAACTTTGTCATAATTCCTGAGTATTCCAGCTTCTGTTTTGTTTCTAAACACAAATAGCTGCTTTTTCTGATTAGTATATAATGTTTTACTCAGTGCTCCCTCTTACTTTACAGCAAAATTTCTACATTACAATTATGCTTTGAAATAAAAAGCAAGGATTTTGAAATACGGTAGCATTAAAATAAGGAATATATGAAAATTTCCAAACAAATACAAAATAAATATGGATTAACTCCAGATTTGTTAAAAGTCACTTTTAATTTTGTGTTCGTGATTTTTCCTTCTTTTCCATGCTATGATATTTTTGTTTCATAAGAAATCAAAAGGATGTCAGAATGCTATAGTCCTTGAGTATGAGCAGGCAACCTTATAAGGACATGATCTAAGAAAGCAAAAGAGGCACACATAGCAATATATTATGAAATATATAAAAATATTATTTCCCTGGTTGTTTCCACATGTAAGTGGATCCACATCTGCTTTTCTAATTCCAAAGGATGCAATTGCTTTAGTGCCTTGAGAAGGAGGCCTGGAGGCTTCATTCTATTAACTTGGTTTGCAAAGCACCCCTTATGAATGCTTTGCACAGCTTTAAGTTCATATATGCTTTAGCAGATGCTCAGTGTTCTAGAGAATGAAATATTCTTCATTTACCAATTTAGAAGGTCAATATGTCTTCTGAGGTATTCGGTTGTTAAATTATTTAAATTTAAAATATATATCTTGTGAAATAGCTTGTCAGATTTTACATTTGTTTGTTTCTAATTAAAGTAATAAAATGTTAATTATATAATAAAATCACTAGAATAAAGAATTGTGCATATCTAATTATGAAATATGTTTTCATCTTTTGTATCTTTCAGACTATATGGGTCAGCACGTATGTGTTTACAGTTTGCTTTGCTGCTAATGTAGGGTTATTGTATGGTGTCGTCTGCACAATACTTATGGTGGTTTTCCGTTTTTCAAGGTGAAGTTTTTAGAAGCAAATAATTTCTGGATATGCTGAATGATTCTCTTCTTCATGACAAATGTATACTACAAATTGTTTTTGTTATGTATAACTGTTCAGCTTTTTTTATCTCCTACAAATAATCTTGGAAGTTTTAATGAGTTGGAAGTATAATTATTCTTCTGTTTCAATCATGTTTATTTTTGACAAGTTTGATTAGAACAGCTAAATAGGCACATAAGGACTCAAGAACTTCTGATTTATAGTACAAAAGTCAAGAGGGTATTACAAAAGAATTCTAGTGGCTGCTATATATCAAATGCAAGTTCTATGTACATTGCAATAAATGTTCAAATTACCTGCTCTGTAAAATAGATTAGAAATTATAGATAGTCCTTAACTTATGACTATTCAAGCAGAATAATGGCCTCAAAGTTATAATGGCCTCGGAAAAGGTGACTTGCCTCATGCAATTGCTGTTTAAGTGCTTGATAATCAGCTTGCATTTATGACAGTTGCCGTGTCTTGCAGTCATGTGATCACAGTTGGCAACCTTTCCAGCTGTCTTCCAACAAGCAAAGTCAATTGGGTAAGCCAGATTCAGTTAATGACCATGTGGTTGGCTTAACAGCCACATAATTTTCTTAAAAATGGTTGTAAACTTGAGTCTGGTCACATGATGGTTCACTTAATGACTGCACCAATTAGCATCCAAATTCTGATTCCAATTGTGATCGTAAGTCAAGGACTATTATACTTGTTTTGGGGTGAGCAAAACCATATCCGTCCTTCCTTGCTTTGGTAATAGACAGACCCGATACCACATCTTTTTACTTTTGATTAGACATGAGAACTAATTCCCACATTTATATGTGTGACTTTAACTATAATGACTAAGAATTAGACTAAGATCAAGGATCAAAGTAAGCATTACAAGAGAAATGTGAGATTCCCAAGCAAATACAAACTCGAAGATGATCATTTGCAGGGGAAAAAATGGCAATCAAGAGAAAGGTTAAACATCTGCCTGTTGCTCATCTAATCTCCCCTCACCAGTTCATATTTACATTTCTTCTCTTTTGAATGTGTTATTATAATCCAGTGTCCTCCTTCTGTATTAGGCTATCTCCCCAACTTCATGATCTCAGGATGGTCAATGGAGACCTCTGTGCAGTCATAATGTACTATAATGCTAAAGTAAATAGTGATTCTAAATAGCTCTTTAACATTTTAAATTTTTTTACTCCAAGAAGACATGGTGGTGAAGTGGTTAGAATGTAGTATTACAGACTAACTCTGCCCACAGCCTGGAGTTCGATCTTGACTGGCTCAAGGCTGACTCAGACCTTCCATCCTTACAAGATCGATAAAATGAAGACCCAGATTGTTGGGGGCAATATGCTGACTATGTAAACTGCTTAGAGAGTGCTGTATAGCACTATGGAGCTGTACACAAGTCTAAGTACTTTTTCTATTGCTATTGCTAGTACCCTAGCAATTGTTATGGAAATTAAAAAAAGTTATGTAAAATCTATTCGGAGAATGCTTTCATGATCAGCAAGACAACTTAGATAAGTATACTATAATTAGTTTAAATATTGATCATTCTTAGAATATAATATTAATGCTATGGATTAAACATGCAAGCATGTTACACTAGGAAATAATTTACAGCATATGGAACACTTGGAATGGGACCACACAAAAAACACTTGATTTTTAACAAGATTTTCTGTTTCATGTATTTGTTACACATTCTTCTATATATTTGTCACAGAGCAACAACACTCAGCTTGAAGCACGTGAATGAAACAGAATGCAGATTCAAAACAGAAGTAGACTTTGTAAGCTTAATTTTCTTGTTCTTCTTTATCTTTGGAAAAAAAATCTTTGCTCTTCTCCTCTAAAGTTGTTCTATATAGAAATGTAAAGGTTTCAGTTTTTTCCAGATGGCCAAATGTGTGAGGGCTGTGTGTGTGCAGACTTTGGTCACATGTACTCCAAAGGGATGAGAGAAATATGACTTTATTCATCTCACCTGTTCACTCACAATTTAGTGACAATCCTATTTCATGGCAATTCAAGGCATACCCATGGCATTCCCTTAACTTAAAGTATGACAAAATTATTGGAGAGAATAACAGTACTATTGAGGAATTTATGCATCAAGAGCAATTGCTCAGAGTCAATAATTGTAGTGATATCAGATTTTGCAGGGCTGCAAAAATCCAGACTTCCAAGAAAAAAAACAACTCTTCATTGCAGATTAGTACTTTCCCATTATTGTAGCTCAGATCTGTTAGGTCAACTAGTATTATAATTTAACCTAAATTATGTTGTGATTGGTCTATTTGAAAATGCATTTGATTGTGCTCCCAGTATCCATGTGGATAATGTAAGTGTTCTATGTTATAAAGCATTTAAAATATTTTGTTTTCTAAAGTTTGGGGTTTTTTTTATTCTAAAGGAATCTTCACAACCAGTAAAAATAGTGTCAGTCAATAACCCATTAGTCTTTCTGAATGCTAAGAAGTTTTACGCCAATATATTAGAAATAATCCATAAGGAGTGGACATGTCCACAGCAGCTGTCGGAAGATATGACCAAGGTAAGATCCATTTATTAAAGAGAAGGGAAAAGTGAAAATTAACTTGGGCTCCAGATTTGCAGTAAAGTGATTGCGTTTTGTATTGTTGGGAAGAGATCGTGACTAAGAATTTCACACCATATCAAAAGGGGACCTACCATGCTGAGTTGGACTTCTGTTCTCCCCAGCTCACTTTTGCTTACAGTGATCTATAGCATCTTCCAAATTTCTGAGAAGAGTCCTATATGAATCTCTCTGGGATTGAACCTAGACTCTTTCGTTGCCAGGCATTTTCTCTCCTCCCATTCACCCTATCCTACTCCAATAAAAACTCTCAAATTTTATTTCTGAAATATCTAACTAAAGGAGGTGTGAGGGGTGCAATGGCTCAGCAGTTAAGACAGTGGGCTTGTCGGCTGCAAAACTGACAGCACAGGTTTGAGACCTGAGTGCCGTGTGACGAGCTCCCGTTACTTGCCCAGCTCCTGCCCTCTTAGCACTTTGAAAGCATGCAAATGCAAGTAGCTAATTAGGTACGACTTCAGTGGGAAGGTAACAGCATTCCATGCGCTTTTGGCATATAGCCATGCTGGCCACATGGCCACAGAAACATCTACAGACAATGCTGGCACCGTCGACTAAGAAATGAAGATGAGCACCAGCCTCTAGTGTTGGGCATGATTGGACAGGAGAAACCTTTACCTTTATCTTTAAAGGACATGTAAATATGGGAGGAGGTATAAGTAGGTAGTTATCCACGGAACAATGCTGTTTAATAGAGAAAAACATTGCCTCCCCCCAATGAATCCTACTCTTGAAAAACAGTTCTGGATCTGCTAGCACAACACATTTAATTCTATTGCCATAGAAATATTTCTGCTGATTTCACTTAAATGTGGTTAAGAAAAAATAAGATTGATTTTTTTCAAACCAGCAGATGATCCATCACTGTAAGCAGATACTTTGATTATGCCAATGCTTTCTAACCATAAATTTTTTTTTGAGGGTATGGCATTCAATCAATTAAGATTTGAAATGGCCCTAAAAACAGTAATCTGATTAGAATTAGCAGCTAGGATCCAATAGGGCAAGAAATTAAGCCGGATAATTCTGATGCTCAGCAGGAACACCCATACATACACACATGTAGATTAATAAGGCCTCTGTTGAAATTGTACAAATTGTGATGAGTTGTAGAGCTTGCAAAAAGAATGATATTAAACAGGAGGTATGCTGGGAGTGGATGGGTTGATGGACAGAATTAGTCCTTTGAAGATGATTAGGCAAATTCATAGAATGAGTAGCTTTCAGTGTCATTTTAAGTAGTCCTCAGGCATAATACCAGTGGATGTTATCTACTAAAGAGACAACAATAAGTATTTTATAACCTTTCAAAGCTGCCATAAATGATTTAGCTGTTTTCTAAAACTTAATGGATTTGGGGTTTAATGTAGTAGATAGCTATAGAAATAGAAGTGAGGGAATCAAATGGAAGCAAGTTCCTTTCTATTTAAAGCTTGAGAATTTAAATGTATTTTGCTATAGCAGTTATAGATGTGGCTCTTCAATTGTCCAATTATTACCAGAGAAAGTATATTGCACTCAAATAAGAGACTGAGGGCAAAATATGAATCCATCAATACAAATAGAGAAATCTGCCTGCACGACTTCATTGTTCATTTCTGTCTAGAAAAGAGACGCCTTGAAATGCAGTTAGCATTGATGCAAGATACACATCTTGTCAAACAAGGCATACTGTCAGGCTTGAAAGACCAGATCTACACATGGCAGTTCAATTAAACATATTTATTGCTAAAAACCTATGCACAGGAATCTTCTCAACTAAAGATCAGCACTTACTTCCAGTTAGACAAGGGTCAATGGAATTTAAGAGGAGTTGGACTTGGGCTTAGTTCGCTTGTTGCTATGTAAGGATTCTAGGCTGATCCCTCTTTTAACTCTGTCCCCAGATTCTGCTACTCCTTTTTCTACACATACAACTAGTCCTTGCTTACTAACTGTCCTGTTTAATGACTAAAGTTATGGCCAGGCTAAAAATTATTTTTACAATTGGTCTCACACTTATAATTATTGCAGCATCCTCACAGCCACATAATTATCATTTGCATGCTTTCTAGGCCTCTGACAAGCAAAGTCAGTAGAGAAGCTGGCAGTAACATCACAGGTTTTGATCATGTGATGTCTCACTTAACAGCAGCAGATTGTGAGTCTATCACAGTCATGTGTCTCTCTCTTAGCAACTATGTTCCAGTTGTCATTGTTAAGTGAGGAATGCCTGTAGATGCCTTCTGAGCACCCCTTCTGCCTTTCATTTTTCTTCTCAAATACTACCAATCTCTCCCTTCCTGGTTTAAAGCAAATAATACTTTTCTGTTTGTCCTAATCTGATAATCTATGGTTTGAATTTACCTGAAAACAATGATTGAACACCAGAATAAAAACATAATTCCTTTGCAAAGGAAATGCATCAAGCATTGTTTCTCAAAGCAAGAATGGAGCTAGGAAATCAGTGTTGGGGGAAAGTGGGATACATAAACATGAGGGTTTTGAAATCTATCTAGAAACAGTGGCTTGATTTTACCTATGAATCAGGTATGTGTGCCTATGCCTGAATGCTGATAGTTTTACACCTGGAGGGAAGCATGTTGGCTTATTTCATGCACAGTCTCTTAGTTAACTTTAAAATTAATCTACACTTTCCATCCATGTTACTACAGTGAATGAAATAAATAAATAAAATGATTGGGTTTTGCCTCTGTTTCAACGCTGTTCCAGTAAATAATAAAAAAAACCTGGGAAGTATGCAGCTTTCCCATTGTTATTATTCATTATGGGTTAGTTTTGCATCCCAGGTAATAACAATGCTGTAAATTTTCCTCATAGTCTTATCAATTCTTGAAAATGTGATTCTGTAAACATGCTTCTGGGGAAACTGTGTTAAAATTGCCTTTTAGTTTTTGTTTGATCTGTATATAATATGACTTCTTAAATGATAATGTTGTTGCTCTGGTGGCCATTTTCTTGAAGGTCTATCGTGAAGAAACTCTACAATTTCAGAAATAGTGTAAAAATAACTATCAAGGCAAGGCAAATACACTGTATTCATAACAGTCAGAATAACTATTTTTTGAAGCAGAAAATAAGATTTAACATTGCAGACAATCATGCTGTTTTGCTTTTTGTTTCAGCATGAACAAAACATACTACTCACTTCATTATCCAATGGAAACTGCCATGGTGAGTGAATAATTTAAGAAATAATCAGTTTAAAGCTTGCTGCCCCACTCATGCCAACTCCCAGGAGGTCAATCAGCATTATTCCAGGAAAATACCTTTGTGAGCTTCTCTACAAGGTTGGCTCAAAGTGCAACATAGGGAATTTTCTAAGTATAAATGTACAAGATTTTCAAAAATGCCTCACTTTGTAATTCATTGGATTTTATATGGTAAAGTATAAGTAAAGTATGCTATCTTCCTAGAATTGGTTTACTTAGACATATTGTCACACTGTGTTCTCAATGACACTTTTCCCCCCTTAGTACTGTAGACCTATACAGTATAGCTGATATCCCTATTGTATCTGAGGAAAAGGTTGTGAGGGAAGAAGAGCTTGGATTTTCTTAAAGTTTTTCTTAAATGATGAAAACTAGAGAATCCTGTGAATGTTTGAGTGAAACAGCAACAAGCATGTATCAGAAATCCCAAAAGTGCTTTTTAAAAGACAACTGAACTTTCTTGTTTTTTCCCCTGAAAATCTTTTGCTTCTCATCCAAGAACCTTCTTCAGTTCTGAAGTGGGGATATAACCCACAGACTAGCATGTCCTCCAGAGTAATTTCAGTAGTATTTCCTTTTTTAGTGGAACAACCCTACTGCTTAGAACAACCTATTGTTATCTGACTTCCTTGGATTATTGCCATGGTGGCACAGTGGTTGGAATGCAGTATTGCAGCTAATTCTGTCTACTGCCAGCAGTTCTATTCTTATCAACTCAAGATTGATTCAGCCTTCCAGAGTGGGTAAAATGAGAACCCAAATTGTTGGGGGGCAATATTCTGACTCTGTAAACCATTTAGAGACAATAAAGCACTATGGGGCAGTATATAAGTCTAAGTGCTTTTGCTATATACTATATCTCCACATTTAAAGCAGATATTTGCCCTGGATCTTGCTTATTTTCATGGATTATACTTCTAGGAGCAATGGGTTCCTTGTTCATCCTTCAGTTCTTCTAATGTCACTGACCTTGTAGGGAATTAGAAAAATGGCTTATATCTGCAGCCTCAGCAGCTTGACAAATGTGCAGAGTCCACGATCTGGAAGAAAACCCAAAATAATATAGGTTGCCATTCATATTTGTCAATTTGTAGAAAAGATTTATTCATATGGAAATTTCTACCTCTTTCAGAAGGGAATATGGATCCTGCATTTGCTGATCTAAGAAGTTCATCCTTTCAGCAACATCTCACTGAAAGGCACAATCTAATATTTGATTGCAGTGGCTTGACTTTCTTTGACTACACTGGTATCTCTGTACTTATTCAGGTATTTATGATCTTCTATATCTTCACCTTCATCTACTTTTTAAATAAAACTCATTCTACATTTAGTTGGTTGAAATGGATGAACAAGAAACTGTTCACAGAAATAGGTTATCAAGTAATCTCTTCATTGTTTCAGGATGATGATGGCTCCTGCTTTTTGATAAAATATGATTTTGTTCTTTTTTTCCAGTTTCTGTTCCAGAGCTTCTTCCCTTTCCTATAAATATGACTTATCAAAAATCTTTGGCATCTTTGTTCCGCTTGGCTTAGATTTATAGCTGCTGAGAAGTTTACCTAATAAAATCTGAAGAGTGAAACATGCCATTTTTTGCTCCTTATTATTGCTTTGTAATTGAGTGAGAGAGAAACAGTCGAAGATTCAAGCCATATGACATGTCTTGTTTGTATTTTATTTTATTTGTTTTTGGTTTTTGTGGAGAATGTTATTGGGTGTTTCTGAAAATCTTTGCCAGGTTAAAGATGATAAAGTTTCCCCTTAACCAGCCTTCACCTGAGCAGTTTTACTGTCCCTGAAAGTATCAGCAATGGTAATAATAATGGCCATGTACATCTCCTTTACAATGAGCCTTCAAAATGATAATTTTTATATCTGTCAGTTCCCATCCATTTGAGACATTCAAGAATATATTGTCCCAGCAGAAGAAGCTCTCTAAAATTACCTTTAGGGTTGATTTTAAATAAAACTTGGGAAAGAAAAGTAGAGGGAATTCGTGGTATAGGTGTAATAGGTGTAATCTGTTTTCAAACTTTTTTCAATTGTATTCTTGTGTATCAGCACAGCTACCTACAGCCTATTTCGCATTTAAAGTTGCTCAATGGAGAAGACACACTTTGAATACTGTATTAATTGCAATTAGGTAGGGAACAACTACAGGATAATTATTAATGTCATATTCTTTTTGGCTTTTGAGAAACAAAATGCAGGGCAGACTTTCCTCAAACCATTTACTGTATTGCACTTTACAAAGTTGCGTTTGTTATAAAACCATGTTATTTTAGGGAATGTTTATATTATAGAACACCTCCCCCTAGCGGCTATTTGGAATACAACTTGTGATCCCCCCCCCCAAACATGCAATGTAAGGCCTTCAAATAAGTCCAGACAAATGTTTAATTGTTTTCAACTTTTATATATTAGTGGACCATGTAACAGTTGAATCAAACACTGCATCCTTTTTTAGTTTGTAACCCTCTACCATTCAAATTACTCTTTCAGGTCCTTAATATTTTGCTAGATTTTGTCTCTGGATTTCATTTAGTAGCTATGTATTTGGCATTCTATTAATCCTTCCCAATGCTGATATGCCTTTCTTTCTTCTGCATGTAAGAATTGATTTCAGATAAATTATTTCTTGTTTTTTTTGTTCTTTGATTTCTCAAGTTAAAGCACGAGATATAATATACTGTAGATGCTATTATCACTTTATTTTAGACCATGTTCCTGTTCAGCTCATTGCTTTGAAATGCATGGACATTTGTTGAATAAATCATTGCTAAAAAAAAAAAAAAAGATTTTGTAAAGCAAATACAATAGGGAATAGTAGAGTTGTCATTATTCTGTTAGAAAAAAGAGATTATGTTAGATATATGAGACACTGCTGAAGCATTTCTTCAGAGTCTCACTATGGCATAAATTTCGTACTAATTTGCCAAAATTTAATTTTTAGAGGCAGGCATTAAAAAGAATTATATTGCTTTATGCACCCCATCCATCTCATATAATTGACTGTCATTCACTCCTCACTGATTCTCTCCATGTGACCAGACCATTCAATGATTTTTTTTTTGTACTGATCACTTAGTTTTGCATTTAATTCACATACATTCAGCATCCTTTCCTTCTTGAGCCTCTTCATTCTTGTTCCCCATTTACAGTTGTTAAGCAACCGATTCCAACAGCATCAACCTCTGTGCTTCTTCTGTTATACCAACTGTCATTTCATAATACAAGGGGCCCGAACCACAATCTTACTTTATGCATAGCCATTTTTCCTTGCTGTTGAAAAAACATTCTTTCTTTACAACAGGCCACTTCCTACCTCCTACCTTTCTATAAGAATTTCCATATATTAAAATTAGTCTACATTCTACTAAAGTAAAATACTCTGATTTTTAGCACATAAGTATAACTTGCAAATGTTCATTTCATTTTCCCTGTCAAGCACAACTATTCATTGTATTGTACTTTGGGGCAGTCTTTCTCTCTCAGGCCTAGGAAGAAAGCCATGACAAAGCACTTCTGAAAGTGTCAAGAAAATGTGTGGACTTATCCAGGCAATTGGTATGAAAGGAAAATAAAAATAAAAATCCTGTATTAATCCTTAAGCAGCAGAACAAAATTTATCTTAAGTCTTAACAAATGTTCTGAAAGAAAATGATGCAAAGCAAATGAGATAGGAGGCTATGAAAGCAAGTACTATAAGGAGAATGCATAAACCAATTAAGTTTAATTAAAAATAAATCCTCACAATTAGTAAGAAAATTAGATTTAGAAATTAAAGAGTTATTGGCAAAATAAAATAAGACAGACTCCTGAAGTATGCATAAACAAAAAAAGAGCTGAGTGTTTTAGAAATTAATAAAATCTAAAGAGCTTTTTATCTATAGTAAGAATATTACAAATCTTGAAAAAAAAGATTGCTAATAATGACACTGAAAAATGTAGGGTAAATAATAATTTAGAAAAATAGATCGGTGTTTTGGATTATGTTCTCATTCTTTGTCTGCTTGACATAAGAATTAATTGTATTAATGTTATTTATTAACATTGTATTCTTTTGTACTTTTTATTTACATAACAGTTTAAAAATAATGCTTATATTCCTCAATAATATATGTTAATATTTCCTCTCTTTTAGATTTATATGGATGCTCAAAAAAATAATGTAAATGTTTTTCTGGCAAATTGCAAAGGCAGGTATCAATTTTCAGTGAAGATAATTTTTATGAATTATGTTTAATTTGTGGTGTTCCTACTCCTCTTTTACAAAGCCACATTCTCTTATTACAGCTTCTTTGAAAAAGGCATTGAATCTCAATGGAAAGCTAGAATTAGAAAATGCTGTCTTCTATGATTCAGTTTCTTCGGCTGTTTCTGCCATCCAGTTTAGCAGGGTGAGTCTCAGACTATGAGAAAAACAGATGCTATAAGGCTAATAGAGGTTACCTCAAGTCCTCTTTCTAAATTGGAAACCCAATTTACAAACAAATAGGAGAAAGGGAAATGCTCAGTCCTTATGGTTTGTGTGTATGTGTGTTTATGTGTTTACTTATGTGTTTACTTATGTGTGTGTGTGTGTGTATGTGTTTACTGGATGAAATTAATAAAAGAGAGAAGCAACCTAGAACTAAGGAGAAATTTCCCGACAGAACAATTAACCAGTGGAACAACCTGCCTCCAGAAGTTGTGAATGCTCCAACACTGGAAGTTTTTAAGAAGACACTGGGCAACAATTTGTCTGAAATAGTGTAGGGTTTCCTGCCTAAGCAGGGGTTTGAACTAGAAGACCTCCAAGATCATCATCATCATCATCATCATTAATCTAATATTCAAGAACTCTAAGAAAGCAGGTCTATTTCTAGCTTGCATAGTTTATTACCACTGATAGCATCTTTTAATCTCTGAGTGTTGCCATTGGGACTGTTGTTACCTACAATAGTGAAGTTCATACATGAATTAAAGATTATGTGAACTTTGAAATCCCCCTTTCCCTGCTAATTTCATTGGGTGGCTTGAGATTTTATGAGTTGAGAAGGGTGAGTTATGGCTTTCCAATCCACTCTTCTTGCTGTACCATCTTATGAATCTATGGACTCATCCTCATATTCCACTTATCATAAAGTATTGAAGAATATGACATCACCTTTGAAGAGTATTGAAGAATATGACATCACCTTTGTCTCATTCCCAGTCTCCCAGAGAAGCAGCTTAGATTTGTTTTTCTGATGTTAAAGTGAAGTTTTCCCTCTTCTCCTAGCACTCACCTTTTTGTATAAATGATCTACATCTAACCAATGATAGGTTCAATGACACTCAGTGGCTGAGATGTACTCACTTCTTATTGGCCATTATAGGTGGCTGTGGGTATGCATCCCTTCATCTGGTTTCTTGACACTGTTTTCCAGATCTGTTTGCTTTTGGTACCAGCAGCTAAGTTTTTTACAACTAGGATTTTCAAAATAGGCACCTCTCTCCACCTTACCTCCACTCCTCTAAGAGCTGGAAGTAAGTTTATCTTTTTTCACCAATTCTTCAGTTACTAGGAGCTACACTGTGGGATTGGAGAGCTGGTAGGTATTTTCCAATTCCATCCAGTTTTGGCATCTCACCCAACACTGGAACTATTCTTGAGGAGCTGACGGTTTTGTGCCAGTCTCTCTGATTGCATAGGGATGAACCTGCAATTAGACATCTAGTAGGGAAGTACACAGTTCCCCACAGCCAGCACCACTGACTAGCTGTGGGGAACTGATAGAACTGACCAGAAGGATACAGGTATGTCCTTGACTTACAGCTGTTTGTGTAACGGTTGTTTGAAGTTGACGGCCTTTGAAATAGTGACCTATGACTCCTCCTCAAAGTTATGACCGTTACACCATCCCCACAGTCACATGATCACAATTTGGATGCTTGGTCCCATCATCTCATTTGTTTTGCCCTTTCATTCATTAATGTTTCCAACCCATCCACCAAATGATAAAAGTAGTTTACAACTTCTGTGAGGAAAAAAGCATTATGCATATTTCTGTTGGAATCTATATAATTGAACATAAACTATGATTTTGTGTGTGCAGTTTTATGAGGCGTAAATTTATTTTGTAATGCAACCTCCTATAAGCTTCTTTTCTGTAACTAAACTACATCTTCAGGCTATGTAGAGCATTTCCGTTTTTATTGTTTTAGATATATGAGTGGGTCTGAGCTTAAGAATCAGTCCCCTTCAAAAGAAAAATGCAAAACTAATTAATGAGTTGTTACCT